GAAATAAGAATTCAAACACATATTTCAAAATCGATTGATATGACATAATTGATTGATTAAATTTATTGGAAATTCCATGCGCTACTATTCAAAAAGTGTCATTTTATATTTGAATATTAATTCAAGTTTTGAGTTAAGCGATATAAATATTAGTGATTTTTGTAAGCATCAGACAACTACTACCTTCCTTATGCGAATTCTTCCATTCCTTTCAAAATGAATAACCACTCTGTGAAAGTATATATTCTCTTCTAATATCGGCATAAGGAATGCCACAAATCTAGACTGAGACCAGATATTCCAGATTACGGATATCCCTCACTCTTTTCTTATCGATGTCGTTTATGGATGATCATAACACATGATATCCTTCGCTATTGATCGTTCCCTTGTTTGTTACCAGTAGTGATACGCTATATTGCAGTGCCGGTAGAGTCACTCTTGGAGTTGGTTTTAATTTGTTTGTTTGATGCAGTGTAATAAACTGTAATCCATACATATTAGAGGTAATATCATCTGTTGGACAGCTCATTTTAGTAACAAACATTGCTGTCATATCTGTGAACTTTGCTAATATTCTTTTCAGTACTTCTTCCTTCAAAAATTCCATGAATTCGAATCAAACTGTTGTTATATGGAAAAGAAATCAGCACTGTGTCCTAACATCTGAGACATTTTCGATGGAAGGATACAGTGTGGTCATTTAGTTGTTTTGAAAAGTGGAAAGAAGTAAGTTATGAATAATGTTTTTTTTCTTTTTTACAAAAATAATGAATTGTCGTCTGAATTTCATCAATAACATTTATGTTAAAAAAAATAATGTGAAACCTGGAAACGATTGATTTTCTATGTCATATTTGTGTGTAAAAGAAATAATACAAATACATTCAATTTATTACTTTCTCTTAACTTTATTATCTCATCCTTAAAATTTCACTCCACTCGTCATGATTCCTACTTTAACGCAATGGAGCTATAATATTCTAGCATGACTAATTTAACATTGAAATATATCTATTAATTAACCTTCGTTTATTCCTCTTTGAATTTTGTAATTGTTTAATGAAAGTTTGCTGAATTGTTTCACAGTCAATTTATGATGTATTTCAGGCTGATAAGAAATGTCAGATGTGTTATAAGGAAGAACAACTGGGAACAATGCAAAAAGATTTGTTGTTGACCCTGGCGAAAAACAAAAAAAAACTTTCAATTTAACCCCATTTAACTTTCAGTTTAACAGAAACTACGATCCAGATGGACTAGTAAATCAGGTTTGTATATGTATCGGTTTCAAATTTTTAGAAATTCATTAACCGGAAAATGAAATACTACCATTTATTTGTTTTTATGACCTTTTTTCAAATATATCATTTTCTTCTTTTTCGAAAATTGTAGTTTCTTAGAAATATTTTCTCATTCATACGGTACTGATATCTTCCAGTGATATATTTTGCTAGCCGGAATAAATATTAGTATTTACGGTAAATGACGAATATATGAACTGGTAGAAATATGGAACGATAAAGTATTTATTTCTCGATGGAGGAATATGAAGGGATCATCTAATTAAAAGATTGAAATAAATTCAATTCTAATAATTTCCTGTTTCAAACTATCGACTTTGCTCAAAACATTTCCTATCATTTTTAGCCGTAACTTTATTTCATCCATGTAATTTCAATCCTAATGCCGTTTAATTGGATCGTATTCTCAGATATCCGAAAAACCCGAAAAATCCTTTTCGGAAAAGTTGTAAGAATATTTTTGACGGTTCTCATCAATCATTTACTTTATTTCATCCCAGTGACAAACAAATGTTTTTTTTCTTGCTTTTTTATTTTTCTAATTTTATTGATATATCTTGCGGATGTATTTTTTCAAACTTCCATTAAATTCATTCAGGAACATAATTGAACTGAAATTTGGCTTTTATTCTTCTGAATTTTATATATTTCCAGGTTGAAAAGGAATCAGACAAACTTCGACGAGGGAATACCACTTTACATAACAGAAGCCACCAGGATGCTAGAAAGAACACTGAAGCTGTATAATAACTGAAAAACTATGAAAGCCAGTCAATAAACGTATGTGAAAAAGATCTGCCTTAATTTGTCCTGGTATCAAATTGAAAAAATGTTTCCAATTAAATCATTTCTTTCATATTAATTTTCATATTTTTATTTGCATAAAATAAAACTAAAAAAATGAAACATTTTCATGCTGTATAAAAGCTCGATTAAAATCATGAATTTTTAGCAATTGAGACTTTTTTAATTTGCCGTTTGCATTAGAAAGAATGAAATGATTTCTGTTGCTGTTGATCATTTTTGAATAAATGCGATGAGATGTTCGCTTAAATGAAAATAAGCGAAAAAAAAAATAGTGAAATTAAGAAAATAATTCAAAAAACGATCAGAGCTAGCCAAATATCTCGTTCACTCCATTATTCGCCCTTTGTCGTGATTTTTGTACACCAATTGTTTGCTAATTACGGAAATTTTTAAACGAAAATGTTATCCAGATATTTAAGTGATATCTCTAACTCTTAATGGAGATTTCACTTGCAAAGCACCAAAGTTTCCATCCTCGTTTCTTGTTATCAGTGTATTATTAACAGATAAAAGTTTCATGACTGCAGTCACTTTTTTTTTTCCGATAGGAATTCTGCTGATAAGAATTTGTTATAGTGGACCAGAAAAACTGATTTTTTTCTAGTACTTTTGCACTTGCTTGAAGCGTGAGTAGATCATTCTTCACGCAAACATAGTTCAAAACCTAAACACATTACGACTGCCATGGGAAATGCACGACACTGAAATTTTGACAATCCTAATCAAAAATACTTTTTTAAAGCGGACACGTTAGTAACTATGAGACTGCTGACCATCAAATGTGGCAATTTATTGAATATTGTCTAGAGTATTCTGTCATAAACATATCACATGAAAAGAAGTAAAATCGCAGCTTTGGCCAAGAAAAAAAGTTGTAATAATGTCGCATTAATACAAGTTAAAATCAGTTCTCCGATCCTTCGAGAACTATTCTAACTAGTTTCAGGTCAGACGAACTTTGAACATGAAAACTGCTTTCAGAAAATGAAAGCATAAGAATACGTAAAATAACAAAGCAGAAAAACCAAGGAAGAATGCATTTTATGCATTTTTTCAATCCAGCAATAGCAATGTCAACAGTGATTAGACTGCTGATAGTGCATGGTTTTGCAAACAGAATTCAATGCCATCTTTTCTTTTCCTGATCAGAATTTTTGCATTTGAAATCATGGAAAGTCTAATTAACCTGGGGATCAGAATATAGAACTAATCGAGTCAAGCTGAGATCAACTTACGAAGCTTACAATTCTAAGTGCAAAGGAAAGACATTCTAAAAAAAATGTAACCTACAAGAAATTATCGCACGATTTTTCAACCTTACCTCCTTATCCACTGAAGATATAAACATGGCCTGCAAAAAATAATAAGATATAATAGCAATACGTCAGAAACAGTGGGAGAATATCAAAATAGAGGAACAACAATAGTCGATAAATATAAATTAAGAGGTGAAAAGTGGAAAATAAACAAAAAACTGCAATTGATGAAAGTTTTTCAGTTATTATATAATCTAGGAAACAAGTCCAGGAACATTCTTGGAGAAAAATACGAATATAACAGGAAGAGTGGGAGCTAGAGATGCCTGAGAAAACCTCAACATCTTGTACTTCTAAAAGAGAAAGCTCAAAATTTGAGATGAAGATAAGGAACTTATATGATTAGTTCACAGATACAAGGATTTGTTTAACATGTATTGATTTGCTTAACAATTTAAAAAAATTAATCAAATGGTCCTAACCATGAGAAGCAAAATTACACATCAGAAAAATTCCACGACCATAGTAATCGCAAATCAGCGATTCGCTGCTCGAATGTCAGTGATGTATCACGGCATGCAGCCAGGTAGCGATTCGATTTTGTCCAAAATTTACCATACAACTGGTAAATGAGCTTGTCGCAAAATACCTGTAAAAACTCATTAAATTGTTTTTATCACCGTGATAATCTCTCATTTTCAGTTGATGGTCAGCTTCTTTAACTTGCTCTTCAGTGTGAGGAAAAGTTGATACCTTTCAACACGGATAAACACGCTAAAATACAAAAAAAAGCAAGCACATGAAATTATTCATAACAACAAAATTCAAATTTATTTGAACTTTATTAATCGATATCGACAAAAAGACCTTTATTTGAATACAAAATGATAATGTGTGAAAGGGAAGTGCTGTAAAGGTGAAAGCAACAAAAAAAGATGTGTAGCTTTATGTTTTACTGTTATCTTGTTTCTTTCCAATTCTCAATTTTCTTTTCTAGGCTATGTTTTTCTTTTAGTGGAACTATTTAAGAAAACAAAGAAAACCCTTTTATTTAGAAAAGATTGGAGCACTAATGTCATAGCATTAGTTGGATAATTCTTCAGAAAAGTTCTGCTAAAGGTTGCTTTTGTTTTTTCATTACTACAATTGAAATAAGCTATCGTAGTCTATATAAAGATTTAAAAAGACTGATTATTATGATTTAGGCAAACTGAAACTTCAGTTTGAACTAGTTAAAAGAAAATTAATGACAATTTTAGTAATTTCCCATAGCAACAGTACTGCTGATAAAACTTTGCTTTTATCTAAATTTACTATGCTTAAATGATCGATTAAAAAGGATAAATTAGTTGGGATCTTCAACAGCTGGATCATAAGTCCACTGTCAAAGAAGATAATTATTTTCATTCAATTTGTTAAAATTTGAAAGGATAAAGGTAGTCACCTCTTCTCTTCACAGCAAAGTATGACTTCATTTGTCCAGTTTTTTCACTAGACAAAAAAGAAAAATAACTAGATACAGAAGAAAAGAATGCATAGAGTATGTTAACGCTAATTAGCATATGAAAGCATACTTCTAAATTACTATTTGTCCGATCGGTACAGAATCCCGTTCCATTATTGCATTTAGCATGGCAATCAAAATAATGGCAATCCGTATCCTGCTTGCACACTCGATTAGTCAGTATGGCATTAAGACGTGATTTAGTATACAGCATATCTGCGTCCATTATCATGAATCTGCATAATCATCAGTGAATTTCTTTAAATACAAAACATGAAACAAAAGTGGTACAATGTGGTCTGCTATTTTGAGTTTCGATCTCGACTGCCAAGTCTGATTTAATTTCACATTTCAGATGAAAATCTGAGTGTAGATGCTGTTAAAAGAGAAAGGTAAGAAAATATAGATCTATTTGATTTCTCTCAGCTCTAGCAAACAGAAATGTAAAAATCTATGCTTTTCCAAACACAAAAAATTTCAGGAATACTCAGAGAAGTGAAATCATAGGGTTTTCCAGAAAAATATTACGTTCCAAATGACATGACGCACATTAAATTTTACAGAAAAATTGACGAAAACTGAAAAACTTTTCGACGTGAACTGACCTTTTCGGATAATCAGCAGCAAGTCCAAGATTATCAAATTTTATATCACACCACTCTAATGGCTCGTTCAAAAATTCATCGAACAATTTCAAAGTTCCCATCAGATGAAATAATATTTTAGCTTTCAAATTCATATAATAACCTTTCATATGGAATGGAACCAATGTTTCTACCTGGTAGAAATGTCCGCATGTACCAATGATCTAGAACATGCATGTTTAATAAACCACTACAAGAATTTAAGGTCACTTTTCATATCTAACTGAGTTATTGAGAAATTCATATTTCAAATATTCCTCTTACTTCCAATTCTTTACTGAAAAACAAATTCCCCTGACAAGCAGAAAAAAGTAAGATTACATAAATTCATCAGACACAAAGATCAGAAACCTTCAGCAAAAAATCTCTGTCCAAAATAAAACTTAGCATGAAATGAATTCATTTTACCTTCGGTGTAACACGAGTAAGGGGTAGAACCTTGAAAGTAATATATTCATCTTGGGAAAGAAGTGCCCATAAACTCCGACGATCAGCTTCGGATAATGAATCACGTCCTTTGCGAACATACATCGGCCAAAGAATTTCAATCAGATGATGTTTATAATGTGAGGGCCAACCTAACCTCAAGTTATAATTAACTGTACCAAGGATCTAGAAATACGGAATTATGGTATGGAACAACACAATAAAAATAAAAATATAATTAAGATGAAAACAGTTCAAAACATGATTTTAGTATGTACTACATAGATTTACGGTCAGCTATTTACGGCCATAGTAGGCTTGACCTTCACAATTTGCATTTATTGTTTTTTCTTTCGAAAATAAGTGGTTCACTTACATTTTTTATAATTTCATAAATAACGGGACTGGTTTAAGGAAATTATCAATTACTAAGACAACGATTTATTCATTTCTAATTCCATTTTTCTTGGATTTAAATTCACTACTATGAAACATTCCCTAAAGAATTGATCGACAAAGAAACTTGGAGCCATTCAAAATCTTGCAATCAACTCAAGCAAAATTAAATAAAGAACTTACAGCATCAAAAAAGAGGCTTTCATTAACTCGTGGATCCAAATGTTCAAATTCATCAATATGCGAATGCTGACTTTTAAGTATAATCTCTTGTCCACCATCTTTGATCGTGATAACAATTTTATTTCCTTCATAAATATCCAAAATATTCCATTTTTTATGATAACATAAACGGTTACACAAATCACCGCTCACTTTTTGTTCCGCATAAGCTTTACATAAATCTAGCAAAATTTTATGCGCCCTAAAATCAGCAAAATTCTCCAACTTCCTAGAGCATAAAATCCATTCATGGTAAAAACACTGGGCCGTTAACACTTGGACTAAATTAAGAGAATATCACCATATTTTAGTTGATGCTAAGAACAAACTACTGCTGAATGAATAGATAGTTGTAACTCTACTCCAAAGTAACCATAAATTTATTTAAGAAATGTGTCCAGGAATAGATAAGCTTGAAAACTTCGACACGGAATGTGACTGAAATATGACAGCACATCTAAAATTTAGTTAGAAGTAAAGAATTTCGCCAACCGTGATTGGTTACTTGGAGCTACTGTTGAGGCCACATCTGTCTGCAGGACTGCGCTGCTATTCCAGTCTGTAATATTTGATAAATTGCCAGCTATAAGCAAAAAATTGGTATTTCAGTAGATTAGTGATCAGCATTGTCTTCTGAATTTAGTAATCCAACACAGAATAAAAATAAAAAGTAAAAAAAAAAGAGAAAACAACCATGTAATATCAGAGAATCAAATATTGAAAGAAAACTACTTGAACTTTAAAACATTTAAAACAAACAAAATCATTCCTCAAAAACTAGTCATTTTTTAGATAACAAATATCTTACTTGAATATATCAAATATAATGTTAATAATGAAAAGAGGAAAACCATTATGAGACCCGGTTTTGAACAGAAAAACAATCGAACAGTATAAGGTCCAATATTACCAAAACTGAAATGAGGATGAATACTACAAAATATGAGAAGAAAAAAAGACTTAAAAAATGGAATCATACATACTTAGCCATTTTCTAGTTCAGTAATTTAGCAGAATAAAAAACGAGGGTGAAAGACGAGCTTAGATAAAATAATACAGTGGAGCAAGATGTACAAAATAACTGAATGGTGGTTAGAAGTTATGCTAGGAGGATAACTGTACGCTTCAGAAATAAAATGATATTGCCTGTATTTGGATGCCATTTCTATGCAGAAACATCAGTAGTGAATAGAAATGTGAAATTACAGCTTTCGTACTTCTGCATAGTCACACTGAAAACCTAACCTCAGGTGAACAGAAACTTTTGAAAAGTGGTACTCTGTGCTGCTTAAGTTAGAGAACGGGATGAATATATACTTATAAGATATCTTACAGTTCATTAGAGAACGGAATGAATATATACTTATAATACATCTTACAGTTCACTAACTACAGCTGAAATAAAAAAGATCGATAAGGTGCAGATAGTACAGTGCAAATAAAACGATCAGAATGGAATACAAGACATCACACTGAAAAAAAGTACTAACAATAAGTATTCAACAGTTCAAACATTTCGATCAAATAATCCAAAATACCACCATTAAAGGAATTCATAACATCAACCAACAAATATTTGTTTGAATGAATAAAGCAGAGAGATGAATCAAGCAGTCAACTTTCGCCATCAACACTGATTGTGAATACGGAACTACAGTAATCCTCTCCGTTTAACATAATTCGTAGCTAGTAATGAGGATTTTAATGAAATAGATTATTGAGCGATACTGATGAGACCACCGTAACTGTCAAGTATCAAAGAATACGACAAAATAGACTTTTCGTGATAACGATATGATGAAGAATGAATATTTTACAGGTGGATGCTTCTACTGAATGAATATTTTTATAAATTCGCATGATTTAATGTAGAAAAATAAAGCAAAAATATCGTCGAAGACAAATACGACACAGCTATGTCGATGGAAACTAAAGCGTGTGACTGATTAAATTAAGACAGAAAGCATACTTTTCGATTATCAACAGGAGTATTATCAAACGGGAATCATGCAGAAGGAAAGAAAATAGTGAACCTATGAAACAGCATTATTAACGCTTTCGATAGTAGAGAAAATGAATGGAATAGATTTTTCTGATTGTTAAGCTCAGTGACCTCTTCAAAAAATATTTAAAATATAAACGGGAAAGCTAAATTCTCAAAGTTTCAATTTCATAAATTCGTTCCTTTTAAAATAAAGTCAAGTCTGTCATTATTCAATAAAACATGAAATCTAAACTAAATCTAACCTTGTTCTTATACAGTTGCAACAATCGAATAATTCATCATCGCCATCCTCCTCCATGAATCCATTCCGTAAATATGATATATTCGCTAAATGTTTCGGATATTCCACTATCGTTCTCGACATTATTCCACCCTTATTTTTTTCATTCATCTCATACAAATAACTCCATTACCATCCAGTCAACCATTACACATACGTTATCATGCCAAAAAAAAAACAACTATTAATCTCGTAAGTGCATATATCATCCTTATGTATATGTATAGTATATGTAAATGTATATGTGTATTAAACATGTATATGCGAATATATATGCACTATATGAACATAAGAATGAATATATTGATTATATGTTAACATGAGAATGAATATATTGATTATATGTTAACATGAGAATGAATATATTGATTATATGTTAACATGAGAATGAATATATTGATTATATGTTGACATGAGAATGAATATATTGATTATACATATACATGCATGTTTACTTAATATATATGAAATGAATAAGAAGCATCAAAAATTGTTTCAAATTTAAATTCCATGCCAAAAAGATTAAATTTT